ACAGCGGGGCCACGAAGGGCAGGGAAGGGGCCAAAAAGGGCGACAGCGGGGCTACGAAGGGCGTGCGTATGGGGCCACGACGGGCGCGAATAAGCGGGGGGCACAAAGGGCAAATAATGCGGGGCCACAGAAGGCAACGACGGGGCCACTGAGGGTAGCAACTGGGCCACGTAGGACAGCGAGGGGGCCACAAAGGGCGACAGCGGGGCGACGAAGGGCAGGGAAGGGGCCACGACGGGCGCGAACAAGCGGGGGCCACGAAGGGCATACGTAGATTGGGCCGCAGAGGGCAAGGACGGGGCCACTGAGGGCAGCAACGGGGCCACGAAGGGCAGCGAGGGGGTTTCCTGAGCAAATTGTGAGGATGTCTCAGATGGGAGCGGGGGTCCTTACAAAAATGGCGAGGAAGTCACAGGCGGGAGCACCGATCCTGAGCAAATTGTGCGGAAGTCTGAGGAGCGGGGGTCCTAAGTAAATTTGGAGGAAGTCTCAGGCGGGAGCCGTTGTTGCTGTAATCTGGGGGGCCAGGGGCACAGTTTGAGCACAAAGACTTTCCCTGTCAAAAAACAGGGTGCGAGCGTCGGGGGTACTTTGATTGAGAAAAAACAGCATGCGCCTGTGAGGGGGGATCAACAATAATTCTCTTTCAGAAATGAGAGTTCAACAACAACAACAACAACAACAACAATCATTTAAGACTGGGGACACTCCGTTCTCACCAGTGCCAGGGTTTTCATAGGAGGCGGGCAATACCCCCACTTTGTGGGGGGGCCGGTTCAAGCTCTACCAAATTTCCAAACGACTCTTCGCCACCACCCACACCCAGCTTCCCGCCCTATGACGTTCGGACACTTCACTTCGTGGCATGCGGACGACCGTGGCTACTATTCAGGGCCCCGCGGCCGACGACGACGGCGTGCGCGCGCGAAGAAAAAACGAATGTGTCCCGCATGGTATTATTTGACAGGGATGATGGCCCTGGCAGGTGCGCAACCGTTGTCGCAGAAGTTCGAAAAAGTTGCTCGCAAAAGCCCGTTTGACAGAAATGTTTAAAAAGTGTTGGGTTTCCTACGAATCCGCAAGAGCGCGCGGGATGAGATTTTGACATTTTTTTGTTGAAAAACCATTGGTTTTTTGATGTTTTTATGTTAAAATCGCTCCGAACACTAAGTTTTGGAAGGATTTCGTCTTGCGCGCGCGAATGTCCACTTTACCTTATTTTTTGCAAGGGATTCTTGAAATTTGATTATATTAGAACAAGAAATGTCATTTTATAGTGTTTTTTGCAAGGGAAAGCGGATTACAACAAAACAACCGGATCTTGATCACATCGAATTACCTGAGGCTTCCTCACGAAAATGATGAAAATGTAGCTGCGGCCTAGGCGGCGCAGGGGGGCCGTGCACCAGGGGCCCCAACAATAATTATTCTTTAGAATTAATAATGTTCAACAACAACAACAAACAACAACAACAACAACAACAACAACAACAACAACAACAACAACAACAACATCAACAGCAAAGCAGCAGCAGCAGCAGCAGCAGCAGCAGCAAACAACAACAACAACACAACAACAACAACAACAATTACTAGCACGTGGGGACACTCCGTTCTCACCAGTGCCAGGGTTTTCATACGACGCCGCCAATACCCCCACTTTGTGGGGGGGCCGGTTCAAGCTCTACCACATTTCCAAACGACTCTTCGCCACCACCCACACCCAGCTTCCCGCCCTATGACGTTCGGACACTTCACTTCGTGGCCTGCGGACGACCGTGGCTACTACACTGGCGCATGGGTACAGTGACTTGTTGTGGTAACATTTTCTGGACGCTAGCTTAGTATACGACTTTTCCCCCTGTTCCAACACTGGACACCTGTACTGGTTTTTGGTGGTAACGTGTTCCTGACGCTAGAATAGGAAACCACGGTGAACCAGTACGACGCCGGTACTGTCTGTAGGTCCTACAATGATATGGACTGCTTTGGCTGGTGAGGCGCTAGCGTCTGAAAAACCATTGGTTTTTTATGTTTCGGACAGCGCGCGCGGGTAGAAATCTTGAAAATTCGTACAGATGTTTTTCGAGGTCCCACGGTGCGATTCGTATGATTTTATGTTGCGCGGTGCTAAAATTCCTACGAAACCCAATGGTTTTTGAAGATTTCGGCGTGCGCGCGCAAAGAAAAAACGAATGTGTCCCGCATGGTATTATTTGACAGGGATGATGACCCTGGCAGGTGCGCAACGGTTGTTGGAGAAGTTCGAAGCACGTGAACAAGTTGCTCGGAAAAGCCCATTTGACAGAAATGTTTAAAAAGTGTTGGGTTTCCGACAAATCCGCAAGAGCGCGCGGGATGAAATTTTGACACTTTTTTTTTGAAAAACCATTGGCTACGTTTAGGTTTTGGAAGGATTTCGTCTTGCGCGCGCGAATGTCCACTTTACCTTATTTTTTGCAAGGGATTCTTGAAGTTTGGTTATGTTAGAACAAGAAATGTCCACTTTAGCTTATTTTTTGCAAGGGAAAACGGGGGACAACAAAACAACCGGATCCGGACACCCACGTTTTGCCTGAGACTTCCTCACGAAAATGATGAAAATGTGGCTGCGGCCTAGGCGCGGCGAGGGGGCCGCGCACCAGGGGGCCCAACAATAATTATTCTTTAGAATAAATAATGTTCAACAACAACAACAACAACAACAACAAGTTTAAGACTGTTCGCCCTTTATATGCCCGAGTGTCGAATAACGCGTATTTCCCAAACCCCCGATACCCGCCCTCTTCGTCTTCGATCGAACCCCTTTTGGGGGGTATACCTTTCTTCCCTGCAGGCAAGGCCCCGGCAAGCGGCGGGGTGGCCGCGGACCGTCGGCCTGGCCAGCAGCAGCGCTGATCGGCGGGGCGGCCGCGGACCGTCGACCCGACCCCAAGAGGAACGGACTGGGGACCGACCACGACGACGACGACGACGACGACGACTACGACGACGACGACGACGACGACAACGACGACGACGACGTCGAAGACGACGGCGACGACGACGACGACGGCGACGACGAGCGAAAGCGAGAGCGAGAGAGAACGACAGCACGGCCACGAAGGGCACGAAATAGGCCACAAAGGGCGACAGCGGGGACACGAAGGGAATGCGTATGGGGCCGCGAAGACCGCGAACGAGCGGGGGCCACGAAGTGCAGATAATGCGGGGCCACAGAGGGCAACCATGGGGCCACTGAGGGTAGCAACTGGGCCACGTAGGACAGTGAGGGGGACACAAATGGCGACAGCGGGGCCACGAAGGGCAGGCACATGGGGCCACAACGGGCGCGACTCCTGGGTGCTTGGGTGTCGGGAGCGCGGCGCTTGGGCAAATTGCCGGAAATTCCAACGCAAGGTCATTCTTCAGTAAGTTGCAAGCAAGTCTCCAGCGAAAGCGCGACTCCAGAGCGCTGGCAGAGCGATTCCTGAATTAATTGCAAGGAAGTGCCAAGCGAGAGCGCGATTCCTGAATAAAATGCGAGGAAGTCTCGGGCGGGAGCGGGGGTCCTGGCTACTCCAGCGGGAGCCGTTGTTGTTGTAACCCGGGGGCCACGGGCCCAGTTTGAGCAAGAAGACTTTCCCTGTCAAAAAAACAAGGTGCCAGCGTCGAGGGGCACACTTTGATTGAGAAAAAAAACATGCACTGGTGGGTGGGATCAACAAAAGTTATTCTTCAGAAGTGAGAATTCAACAACAACAACAACAACAACAACAACAACAACAACAACAACAACTACAACAACAACAATAATTTGAAGACTGTTCGCTCTTACTGGCACGCGTGTCTTGCTTTCCGTATAATTACCCAAACCCTCGATACCCGTCCACTTCGACTTCGATTGCACTCCCTTTCGGGGGGAATCTCTTCCTTGTCGGCCCCTGACTGAAGTGCGAAGGAGTCGCGAGCGAGAGCACCGTTCCTGAATTGGGAAGCCTCTCTGGCCAGGGGCTCTCGGAATATCTATGGAGAAATGTCGATCGGGAGCCCTTGTCGCCGTGTCGGGGCCTCCACCAACTTGCCTGAATTACGGGAAAGTCTCGAGCGAGAGCGCCGTTCCTGAGTTCGGATGCCTTCTTGGCCAGGGGCTCTCGGAGTAAATCGTGAGGAAGTATCGAGCAGGAACCCTTGTCGTCTTGGCTGGGCCTCCGCAAACTTGATGGAATTGCGAACAAGTCTCGAGCGAGAGCGCCGTTCCTGAGTTCGGGGGCCTCTCTGGCCAGGGTGTCGCGGGGTAAATTATGAGGAAGTATCGAGCGGGAGCCGTTGTTGTCGTAGCTGGGCCTCCAAGGGCCCGCATTTCGGCTCATGCTAACACTCGAGCGGGAGCCTCGTTTTCATAGAAAATGTAGCCGGCGTCGAGGCGAGGGGGCCGGGGGCTTGGGCCGCCGGGCCGCGCACCCCACGCGCCGCCCGCTGGACCAGACGGCCTCGCGGGGCGACGCTGCCCCCATGAGGGCTCGGCGTGCCCCAGCCGCCTAGCCCCACGCAGGTAGCCAGGCCCGCGAATGCCAATATGGCACCACGAGCGGCCCACATCAGGCGCCCGGGGGCGCGCAGGGAGGCCCACGGGAGGCCCACCGAACCACCCAAACTCACCAGGGGCTCCTTGAGCCACTGGTCACGAAGCCAAAATGTATGCCCACATGGGCGCCCCAGCGTCCACTGAACCCACAGTCTAACAGAAGGACAGACTCGATAATTCTCGTCTTCCAGAGCCTCCGACGATCCAAGACCTCTCAAGAGGGCCCAAAGATTCCAAAAAACGGGCCGAGAGGTCCTAAGACCTCCCAAGAGGGCCCTCGGACAGGGCGAGATGCCTGGTCCTCCTCCTCCTCCTCCTCCTCCTCCTCCTCCCACTCTTGAATCCAGGTCGTCGTCGTCCTCATCCTCCTCCTTCTCTGCTTGCTCTTCCACTTCCACCCTCCCCCCTCGTTTTCCTACTCCTGCCGTTGGTCCTTGCACCGCCTGGCCATCGTGCGCATGTCGCTGCTGGCGTTGCGGCCTCCCACGAAGCAGACCTCGAGCTCCAGGCTGAGGACAGTCCCAGTCTTGTGGTGGCTGGTGAACATGATGCCTGGCTGGCTCGCCGAGGCGGACGGTTTGCTGAGACAAGGTCGCCCATTGCTTCCGATGGCTTCATGGGGGGTCTGAAGGAATGAAGAAAGTTCTAGAGTTGAGGGATGCAAAAACGCCCCTACCCTGGGCTACGAGTGCGTGGTCCGTAAACCTCCCGGGAGCTCCCAGAGGCCAGAGAGCCGCCAGGACGCCGCGCCACACGCGTGATATGCAGGGTCTACCCTGTCAGCCCATAGGAGGCTCAGCGCACAGCGCCTCGTAGACAAGGGTAGGGGCTTCCTGTTTACTCCCTTGATAGAGGGCACTACTCACATGGTTCCAGGGACGGGGAGGGATTAGCGGGCCAATCATAGAGAACAGAAAACGGCACAAGCATATACACCCTGCGAAATGCTTAAGAAATCATGGGTTCAGAAATTCATAGTCTCAGAACTTGAATAAAAACCCAAAAAAATCCATTCAGATCTTAGGATTTACATTGAAACATGAAGAATAATCGAGACTCTGGCCGAAAATTTAAGTTTTCTTAAGCATCGCCTAAGGTGTACACTGTCGGAGATCCGCGCCGATTCCTTGAATCAACGCTGGACCCCTCCCTGGCGCGCGGAGCGCGCCAGGGGCTGGGCCGGAGGCGCTGGCAGGGGTTGCCAATGCCAGTCCAAGAAATCCGGAGCAAGGAGAAGGAGAAGAACCTTTGGCCGCGACGGGCCTCTCGCTCCTGAAATCCTGGGCGCTCTCGAGGGTCAGAGCACGAAGGAGACAGAGGGGGAGGAGGACGAGGAGGAGGCAGAGGAGACGCAGGAGGAGGAAGAGGAACGGGGGGCAGGAGAAAAGAGGAAGGGAGAGGGCGGAGGAGACCCCGAGGGAGGACGCCCTGGAGGCTGGAGGAAATTCGGCGGGCCGTGGCGCCTTGCCGCGAGTCTCTCGCGATGGCAACCCCATCTGCTGCGCGGAGCAGCGCCAGCAGCAGGGTGGCGGGGCCCAGGGCCCACGCCCTACGTACTTCAGTCGAGCATGGCATGAAAATGTATTGCTTCCGTGGTTCGAAGATGGGGTCCTGAGGGACGGGGTCATAAGGACGAGATGCCTCGAACAATGCAAATGCACCCTTGGATCCCTGCCCATCCTTGGACACCCCACCCCTCAGGACCCCATCTTTGAACCACCGACTACTGCCCCGGGCGGTCCGGGGGCGCCCTCGCCCGCCGCAACCCGAGGCCTGGGCCGCCGGACTTCGCGCTTCGCGCCCGGCGCTGCCCAGCGCCAGGTCGGGCATGTCCTCCTCCAGGCGGATTTCTGCAGAAAAAAAATGTTCTAAAAAATGCCCCCCGAGTACTGTAGAGGAAAGAGAACTATGCACATACACCGATTCTGGCCAGGACCATCCTGAGCCCAGGATCGGTGCATACGCCCTCTTACCTTGGCCAGGAAGGTAGATGCACCGATCCTGGGTCAAGGATGGGCGTTGTCAGGATCGATGCATGTGCATAGTTCTCTTCGCCCGATATTACTGGACCATTTTTATGCCCGCCTTCAAGCCCGACTTAAAGCCCAGCGACCTCCTCCTCATCCTCCTCCTCCACCTCCTCCTCCTCCTCCTCCTCCTCCTCCTCCTCCTCCTCCTCATCCTTCTCCTCCTCCTCCTCCTCCTCCTCCTCCTCCTCCTCCTCCTCCACCGCCTTCAAGCCCGACTTAAAGCCCAGCGAGGCGCGGCACGCGGAGGGCGGCCCCGCGGGCGAGGGCGGCGCCCAGCCCCCCAGGGGCCCTGCCCGGAGCGCAGATCGGCGGCGCGCGCGGCGCGCGGGGTCCGAGCTGCGGCCTGGGCTGAGAGACGGCCACGGACCACGCCTCCTCTTCCTCCTCCTCCTCCACCTCGTCCTCCTCCTCCTC